AAATATTTAAATTTTAAAATATTGATTTATTGAATTCAATTATCCATAAAATCATAATTTATACTATTATTACATAATTTCATTATTAATTTTGTCATATATTAAATTTTTATTAATTTCAATATTATGTTATAATTATTTTTGTACTTTGAAGAATTTTTGTTAAATTTATTACATAATTTCGTTACTTTAACTATTTAAAATCTAGTTATGATAAATATTTAGTTATTTAAATTTATAATCCGAAAAACATTTAAATTATTTAAATTGATACTCAGGAAAAATATAATTTAAAATTTTAGTACATAATTTCGTGATATATTTTTTAAAACTATAAAATTATATTTTTTGTTTTTAATAAATATATTAAAGTTATTATATAATTTTGTTAGAATATTTAAATAATTCTTAAATTTTTTAATCCAAACTCCCTACTAAATTACAGATAATTTTGGAGATAAAAAAGAATTAGAGATTATTTTGGAGAAAGTGGGGGAGGTGGTTTAGGAGAAATTTTAGGAGGAGATATTTAGGTTATTGGGAAAATGCATCTCATTGGTTGTTTCAAAAATGACATGGAATAAAAAATTAAAAAATAGGATAAAATTTCTTATATATATATAGATTAAATAATCGATCGAATTCGGATATTTATGAAATCGAATCAGGTCATATCCAAATTCGAATCCGATTAACTATTCGGTAAGAATAAGATATCTGAATTCGATCGATTAGATATTCAAATTATCTGAATTTAATTTGATTATGTCAAATATCGAATTCGAAATCGGATTTTAAATACCGTTGACACCCCTAAAAGTATCTTCCTTTTCATTCATATGGAGATGTTTACAATAGGTGGTGATGTGCTGTCGGTATAGATGTGAGAACATTTTGTGGGTAGCAGAAGTGTGATCTCTGGGAAGCCAGAAGCGTCCAACCCTGGTAGGAGCCGATATATGCTCCTTAATTTTGATGATAAATAATGCCCCAAAATAGTTTACATGAGAGAAAGAAAGCAAGCTTAATTTATCAGTCCAGACATGTGTAAAGAGTGGTTGGAGACCTTTTCAATTTCCATCCAAGAGTTGAATGATGAAGACAAAAATCATATTTGAAGCATTTTCAGTTTGGATCATCTATTCTTACCATGAAATGACCCAAGTATTCTCTTCAGCTTATTTCTTTTCATTTCTTGTTGCTTTCACTGTTCTTTTCTTTGGCTTTCTTCCTTGGAAGGAAATCCTTTTGGATGGCCATGCCCATGTTGATGGCGAACTGATTTTCCTGCATTCACACAGACTCAGCTCGATCAAGTCGCAGAACCAAAACAAAACCTGACGCCACGCCTTGCGTCACCCCAAGCTTCCTTTTCCCTTCTCAGTTCTGTTAACCATTTCGTCGCTATTAATTAACCAAACAACGGATCAATCAATTCATAATTTTGTAGTGTGTTTGGTATGGTTGTGTTCATCTGTCGCAGCAGATTGCATTACGTTTCAATGTTTTGTTTTTCGACTTCGATTGTCTGACTTTGTTATAAGTATTTTTAAATTAAAACTTGAAATATATAACAAATCTATCTCTCAATAAAAAAATTTCTTCTAAATCTTGGGGATTAAGGCAGAATCTTTGAGTTGACATGTAGACGGGGCTGAGTTTGCGGCAGATCAGCCACTTTTACCCATCAAATATATATATTGGTCCAATAGCTTAGAAATTAATGAATGAATCAAGAAGCGAACTGGTTGAAGCTCATTTGATCACTGTCTCCTGAGCTAAATTGGGTGGGACCATCCAATGCTAGATCCTCATCTGAAGCTCTGAATACCCCTGACAGTTGTGGGGACTTGAAGGTCGAGATGATCTAATTAAATTATAGTGCCGAAAACTCTGAGAAGCTTCTGCTCTGGTCTAACAGATTAAAAGACCAATAATCTAACATAGTCAAAGCTTCTGCTTTCTAGGAATCTTTGCCATCCACAACTATAAATGTCAAGAACCCTCAACTCGTTTACTCCAACAATCTTATCCATCTCAATATCCTCCCCAACTATTCATTAACTATCCAATTGACTCTTGCAGACTCCTAGACCAAACCACCATGATCCAGCTCGAGCTCTTACAGTTGCTTCTTCTCTTCATCCTTCCATTTTTCTTCGTCTTCCTATTCAGTGGCTTTGTGGGTAAGAAGTCGTCTTCATCTTCGGGCATTAAACTGCCCAGGTCTTACCCATTAATCGGTTCTTATATTGCAGTATACAAGAATCGAAACCGACGGAATGAGTGGATGACAGAGCTACTCAAGAGCTCTCCATCTGGAACCTTTGTTCTTCGTCGCGCTTTTGGTGCTCGTCAGGTCCTCACTGCCAATCCATCCAACGTCCAACACATCCTTAAGACCCAATTCTATCTCTACCCCAAAGGACCCTTCTTCCGATCCTTCCTCTCCGACTTACTCGGCGCTGGCATCTTTACCGCCGACGGCGATAGTTGGAAGACTCAGAGGCAGATCTCTAGCCATGCATTCAACACCAGGTCTCTACGCAATTTTGTGGAGACCGTCGTCGACAGTGAACTCACCAAGCGTCTTCTCCCCATCCTCTCAACGGCCGCTGCAGAGAAGTCTGTGATTGATCTTCAAGATATCCTGCAGAGGTTTGCCTTCGACAACATTTGCAAGATTGCTTTTGGGTACGATCCAGAATACTTGTCCCCCTCTTTTC